ATAACGGTGTTGGGCATGTGAGGTGGTGCTATAGAGAGATAACGGTGTTGGGCATGTGAGGTGGCGCTATAGAGAGATAACGGTGTTGGGCATGTGAGGTGGCGCTGTAGAGGGATTTCGGTGTTGGGCATGTGAGGTGGTGCTATAGAGGGATAACGGTGTTGGGCATGTGAGGTGGCGCTATAGAGGGATAACGGTCTTGGGCATGTGAGGTGGCGCTGTAGAGGGATTTCGGTGTTGGGCATGTGAGGTGGTGCTATAGAGGGATAACGGTGTTGGGCATGTGAGGTGGCGCTATAGAGGGATAACGGTCTTGGGCATGTGAGGTGGTGCTATAGAGGGATAACGGTGTTGGGCATGTGAGGTGGTGCTATAGAGGGATAACGGTGTTGGGCATGTGAGGTGGTGCTATAGAGGGATAACGGTGTTGGGCATGTGAGGTGGTGCTATAGAGGGATAACGGTGTTGGGCATGTGAGGTGGTGCTATAGAGGGATAACGGTGTTGGGCATGTGAGGTGGTGCTATAGAGGGATAACGGTGTTGGGCATGTGAGGTGGTGCTATAGAGGGATAACGGTGTTGGGCATGTAAGGTGGCGCTATAGAGGGATAACGGTGTTGGGCATATGAGGTGGCGCTATAGAGGGATAACGGTGTTGGGCATGTGAGGTGGCGCTATAGAGAGATAACGGTGTTGGGCATGTGAGGTGGCGCTATAGAGGGATAACGGTGTTGGGCATGTGAGGTGGCGCTATAGAGAGATAACGGTGTTGGGCATGTGAGGTGGCGCTATAGAGGGATAACGGTGTTGGGCATGTGAGGTGGTGCTATAGAGGGATAACGGTGTTGGGCATGTGAGGTGGCGCTATAGAGGGATAACGGACTTGGTCATGTGAGGTGGTGCTATAGAGGGATAACGGTCTTGGGCATGTGAGATGGCGCTATAGAGGGATAACGGTCTTGGGCATGTGAGAAGGCGCTATAGAGGGATGACGGTGTTGGGCATGTGAGATGGCGCTATAGAGGGATGACGGTGTTGGGCATGTGAGATGGCTTCAAAGAGGGATAACGGCATTGGGCATGTGAGATGGTGCTATAGAGGGGTAATGGTGTTGGAGTTGTGAGGTCGGTTTTAGAGGGATAACAGTGTTGGTGATGTGAGGTGGTGATGTATGGAGATAACGTTGTGGGGTGGTGATGTACGGAGATAACGTGTTGGGGTGTGAGGTGGTGATGTACGGGGATAACGTGTTTGGGTGTGAGGTGGTATTTATTGAGATCACGTTTTGTGGTGTGAGGTGGTGATGTACGGAGATAACGTGTTTGGGTGTGAGGTGGTATTTATTGAGATCACGTTTTGTGGTGTGAGGTGGTGATGTATGGAGATAACGTGTTTGGGTGTGAGGTGGTGATGTACGGAGATAACGTGTTGGCGAGTGAGGTGGTATTTATTGAGATCACGTTTTGTAGTGTGAGGTGGTGATGTATGGAGATAACGTGTTTGGGTGTGAGGTGGTGATGTACGGGGATAACGTGTTGGGGTGTCAGGTGGTGATGTACGGGGATAACGTGTTGGAGTGTGAGGTGGTGATGTACGGAGATAACGTGTTGGCGTGTGAGGTGGTACTTATTGAGATCACGTTTTGTGGTGTGAGGTGGTGATGTACGGAGATAACGTGTTTGGGTGTGAGGTGGTGATGTACGGAGATAACGTGTTGGCGAGTGAGGTGGTATTTATTGAGATCACGTTTTGTGGTGTGAGGTGGTGATGTATGGAGATAACGTGTTTGGGTGTGAGGTGGTGATGTACGGAGATAACGTGTTGGCGAGTGAGGTGGTATTTATTGAGATCACGTTTTGTGGTGTGAGGTGGTGATGTATGGAGATAACGTGTTTGGGTGTGAGGTGGTGATGTACGGAGATAACGTGTTGGCGAGTGAGGTGGTATTTATTGAGATCACGTTTTGTAGTGTGAGGTGGTGATGTACGGGGATAACGTGTTGGGGTGTGAGTTGGTGATGTACGGGGATAACGTGTTTGGGTGTGAGGTGGTGATGTACGGGGATAACGTGTTGGGGTGTGAGTTGGTGATGTACGGGGATAACGTGTTTGGGTGTGAGGTGGTGATGTACGGGGATAACGTGTTTGGGTGTGAGGTGGTGATGTACGGGGATAACGTGTTGGGGTGTGAGGTGGTGATGTACGGGGATAACGTGTTGGGGTGTGAGGTGGTGATGTATGGGGATAACGTGTTGGGGTGTGAGGTGGTGATGTACGGGGATAACGTGTTTGGGTGTGAGTTGGTGATGTACGGGGATAACGTGTTGGGGTGTGAGGTGGTGATGTACGGGGATAACGTGTTGGGGTGTGAGGTGGTGATGTACGGGGATAACGTGTTTGGGTGTGAGTTGGTGATGTACGGGGATAACGTGTTGGGGTGTGAGGTGGTGATGTACGGGGATAACGTGTTGGGGTGTGAGGTGGTGATGTACGGGGATAACGTGTTGGGGTGTGAGGTGGTGATGTACGGGGATAACGTGTTGGGGTGTGAGGTGGTGATGTACGGGGATAACGTGTTTGGGTGTGAGTTGGTGATGTACGGGGATAACGTGTTGGGGTGTGAGGTGGTGATGTACGGGGATAACGTGTTGGGGTGTGAGGTGGTGATGTACGGGGATAACGTGTTTGGGTGTGAGGTGGTGATGTACGGGGATAACGTGTTTGGGTGTGAGGTGGTGATGTACGGGGATAACGTGTTTGGGTGTGAGTGTGGCAATAAATTGAGCATATGAACTGCAGATTGTTTGATGATATTTAAAATTGTTTTTACCATGAATAAATCTTGTTTTTTGGCATTGAAATTGACTATGTAATACAAAGCAGGTTCATCTTGAAATTGAAATTGAAACTGGCGTCAACACGGTCATCAACGACTGCGCTGCGAGCTACTATCCCCCCCCCCCCCCCCCTTCTTTCGTTGGGGCAACTATTTAGTGACAAAGCCGGGGACAAAGGAAAAGTTATATCACGTGATATCCTTACTTTCCTGTGGCATACGCCCTTTCTTTGGGTTCCCTCTTTGTGGTGTAATAATCGATCCTGCAACGGATACTTGAATACCAGTATGCTCAAGGCAACACATATATTAATATACTAAAGGTCTTTTAGTTGACGTGATGTAGAACAATAAATCTTTGTATGATCAAATCGTAAACGGTGGACATAAAAAGTACCAATGATAAGTTATCTGCACCTTTTACCATTAAAACGGTCCCCCACTCACTTGGACCATTTTTCCTCCTGTGTCCATAGCTGTGCATCTGGTTAGGCCAGATGCACGAATCCGGCACCTACCGCACATTGGAGTGTGAAAAGAAAGAAAATAAAACAGTGTGTTTTTATTCCGCCAAACAGAAATAAGTAAAATGTTTCAAAAACGCTCTCTGTGTGTGCCTCTCTCTTTCTCTATCTGTCTCTCCCTTTCTCTGTGTCTCTCTCTTTCTCTCTCTCTCTTTCTCTCTGCCTGTCTTTCTCTCTGCCTCTCTCTGTGTCTCACTTTCTGTGTGTCTCTCTATCTGTGTCCCTCTCTGCCTCTCTCTTTCTATGTGTCTCTCTGTCCCTCTCTTTCTCTGTGTGTGTGTGTCTCTCTTTCTCTGTCTCTCTCTGTCTCTCACTGTCTCTCTGTGTCTCCCTGTCTCGCTCTCTGTCTCTCTCTCGCTCTGTCTGTCTCTCTCTTCTTCTTGTTTCTATTCCCCTCGCCCCTATTGATTTCCCCAACCTACTTAACAATATTTACATATCGAAGATTTTTAAGATCATATTTCTTTTTCATTTTTTAACCTACTCACCTGAATTATTTTGAAAAGAATATGCACATAAACAGTGTGTGGTCCTGTGGATGAAAGACATTCGCCCATCCTTCTTATGTTGCTTTTAATCAGACTTCACTGTTATTTCATTTGGCCATCATAATAACACCAGACGTAGCCTAGTGGTGAAAGCATTCGCTCGTCACGCCGAAGGCCCGGTTCGATGCCCCACATGGGTACAATGTGTGAGGGTAATTTCTGGTGTCCCCCGTCGTGATATTGGTGACATATTGCTGAAAGCGGCGTTAAACCATCCTCACTCACTCATTCCGGCCAGGAAGACCAGTGGTCAAGCACACTGCCCCAAAGACCCCATGTGATAGCATGAGCATAACACTGTTTAATTTTATCATTATTATGGTTTAATACCCAGCTAATCGTAGTGAGTGAGTGAGTGAGTGAGTGAGTATGGTTTTACGCCGCTTTTAGCAATATTCCAGCAATATCACGGCGGGGGACACCAGAAATTGGCTTCACACATTGTACCCATGTCGGGAATCGAACCCGGATCTTCGGCGTGACGAGCGAACGCTTTAACCACTAGGCTACCCGACCGCCCCTCATCGTAGTAACGCCAGACAGGACATAGACGTTCCTAATTAAGGCAACTATGGTCTCAAAGATAAAATTAAGATCATATTTTATTTTCTTTGTTTGTTGTTTAACGTAGCTCTCAGCAATATTCCCGCTATATGACGGCGGTCTGTAAATAATCGAGTCTGGACCAGACAATCCAAGTGATTGACATCATAAGCATCGATCCACGCAATTGGGATACGATGGCATGCATCAACCAAGTCAGCGAGCCTGACCACCCGATCCTGTTAGTCGCCTCTTACGACAAGCATAGACACCTTTCGCGGAAAGCATGGGTTGCTGAATACCTATTCTACCCCGGATCTTCACGTGTGAATCATATTTGTAGCAGTTTTATCCTTGTGTACAGTACCATTGTCTTCGACGTACCAACATATAATTGCTGTGTGACTCTTTTTTCCATCGTCTTCCCGTACAGTATTTACCGGGAGTAGTGCGTTCTTTTAAAAGAATTTCTAATACTGACGTCGTCATAATAGCTAGAAATGTAAACACCAACGGGATTTAAGTCATGAAAATAAAAAGACGTGACCATATATGGAGATGTTTTGTAACTACTTGTCAGAAAGCGTCCTGTATATATAAGAGAAGATTATGTGTTTTACATGCGCACTTGCATAGGAAATCAGACGTTTCACAAGGTGGGGACTCTTTCTTGTCTGTCTACATATGATGCGTACCATGACGTTATTGTTTAGAGGACATGTTTTATTTAATCCCATCACTCGAAGTCTTAGGAAATAAATGATATATATATCGCTTCATTGTTTAAGGCGATGTAAATGTTTCGTACATGTGTATTCCATACAGCTTGTATCAAACGACGGATAACAATGAAGCGAAGGACTTCAAGTTGAATTCGAGTTTTTGAAATGCCATCTGGTTATCGATTATTGATAAATTTGTGTTTTATTTTTATTGTAGGTCACCATGGAAGTAAAGTCAAAACTCATCATTCTCTGCGTGGTGATGTCCATCATTTTACAGATGGCGTCTACTTATAATGGGAACATAAAAAAACCTAGTCGGAAGAAGAGATTTGCATTTAGCAGTATTATATCTGGAATTGGAGGTGCTATAAATACGGTAGTACCGGTTGTGAGAAACCTTCTAAGATTTGGAAGACGAGAGACTCAAAATGCTGTTCAGGAAATGAAGAAGATGATGAAAGCAGAGGAAACGGAGATGACGAAAGAAGTGCACGGTAGAGCCGAGATGCTGATGGCTCTCCTCGAGGCCAAGCTGGCGATGGACGGTATGTTATAGTGTGTTTTTTTTAGGCTAGGGTTCCTAAAGCAATGTTAGCGCTAAGATGACCATAACTCCCATACTTTGTTAATCCAGATATTTGTTCATCCGGACTTTTGCTAACGCGGCATTTGTCAAACCGGACATTTGTTAATTCAAACATTCATTGATGCCGACACTGGTTATTGTCTCTAGCATTTGCTAATCAGGACATTTGTTATTTTATCTGAAAGTTGCTAATCGGGACATTTGTTAATCCAGACATATGTTAATCCGGACATGTGTTGTTTAATCCAGACACCCGTGCTAGTCAGGTTATTTGTCCTTTAATCCAAACGATTGTTCATCCAGACATTTTTTTGAACTGGACATATGTTAATACGGACATTTGTTATTTTATCTGGCATTTTCTAATCAGGACATTTGTTAATCAGGACATTTGTTATTTAATCCAGTTATTTGTTAATCAGGACATTGAAATGCTGAAATGCACTATTTATCATGTGTGGAACTTACGCTCCGGTCGGGATTGCTATTTCCGCACCTCTGAATAGTGACCCAACACACAGTATTACAAACAAAGGGTGTAAGCATCAGGTGATTCAGTGAAGATCCGGGCTCGAATTGATCTTCAGAAACCCATGCTTGTCGTAAGAGGCGGCTAACGGGATCCGGTGGTCAGGTTTCTTGACTTGATTGATACATGTCATCGTATCCCAAATGCATAGATCGACGCTAATGATGTCAATTCCTGGATTGTCTTGTCCAGACTCGATTTATTTACAGACTGCCGTCATATTTTTGGAATATTGCGGGGTGCGGCCTTAACAACAAACAAAACAAACAAACAGACAAACATCATCAGGTGATTCAAAGTATTAAATCTATACAACAAGCATGTTTCGGAGGAACATAAGATCACATGATATTTGACGTTGAACATTTCTATTCTTGACAGCTTCATCTGCTACTGCCTGCAGCTGCAGCTGGTTGATGGTGTCCTGTGCGTGCGTGGTGGTCGTCAACCTACTCCGACTTTAAAACACCGGCTGTCCATACTGCCGCTACCCTACCCAAGCTTGGACAACACCCAGTTAAACAGTGCTCGCTGTATCTCGTCACCACTGCATGTCGGTACACCCTTTACGTTACCTTGTATCACGATTTTCAGAAGAAATTAGGAATTAACTGTTGATGAACATACGATCATCACCGTGTATAGCGAAATCCCATTAGTCTGGAAACCCGTCATTCCGACTATTACTGGGATAGTAATCAACTGACGAGGCATTATCTGCAACGTTAATCCAGCCATTTCTTAATCCGTGTATTTGTTAATCCAAACATTTGTCATTCCGGACTTTTGTTAATTCCGTAACATTTTAATCCGGACATACGTTACTCCAGACATTGTTAATCCGGGCATTTGTTAATCCAAACATTTGTCATTCCGGACATTTGTTAGTTCAGAAACTTGTTAATCAGCACATTGGTTACTCCAGACATTTGTTAATCCAAACATTTGTATTTCCGGACATTTGTTAATTCAGAAACTTGTTAATCTGGACATTTGTTACTCCAGCCATTTCTTAATCCGGGAATTTGTTACTCCAGACATTTGTTAATCCAAATTTTTGTCTACCGGACATTTATTAATTCAGAAACTTGTTAATCCGGACATTTCTTACTCCAGACAGTGTTAATCCGGGTATGTGTCACTCCAGGCATTTGTTACTCCATGCATTTGTTAATCCAAACATTTGTCATTCCGGATATTTAATTCAGAAATTTGTCAATGCGGACATTTGTTACTCCAGACAGTGTTAATCCGGGTATGTGTTACTCCATGCATTTGTTAATCCAAACATTTGTCACTCCGGATATTCAATTCAGAAATTTGTCAATGCGGACATTTGTTACTCCAGACTTTGTTAATCCGACAGGTACTTTGAAATAGCCGTCTGTCCATACTGCCGCTACCCTTCACAACCTTGGACAACACCCACTTAAACCCTGCTCGCTGTTTCTCGCCACCACTGCACGTCGTTTCACTCTGTATGTTACCTCGTATCACGATTTTCAGAAGAAATATCAATATTTATTATTGCTGATATACATATGATCACTGTGTATAGTGAAACTCCATTAGTCCGAACATTTGTTCATCCAGACATTTGTTAATCAGAGCATTAATTTTGCTCATCAGGACATTTGTTCATCCAGACATTTGTTAATCAGAGCATTTGCTCATCAGGACATTTGTTTATCCAGGCATTTATGAAACTGGACTTTTGTTGATCCAGATATTTGTTGATCCGGACATGTGTTAATGGGGCATTTGTCAAACCGGACATTTGTTAATTCAGACATTCATTGATCCGGACACCGGACACTTGTTATTTCATCTGGCATTTCCAAATCAAGACATTCGTTAATCCGGACAAGTGTCGATTAATCCAAGCACCTGCTAATCTAGACATTTGTTACTTAATCCAGACGTTTGTTAATCCAGACATTTGCTCATCAGGACATTTGTTCATACAGACATTTTTTAAAACTGGACATTTGTTAATCCTGACTTTTGTTATTTTATCTGGCATTTGCTATTCAGGACATTCGTTATTCCAGACATTTGCTCATCCGGACATTTGTTGTTTAATTCAGGCATTTGCAAATCAGGACATTCGTTAATTCAGACATTTTTAAAACTGGACATTTGTTATTTCCGAGATTTATTAACAGAACATTTGTCAATACGGACATTTGCTAATTCCGACATTCATTAATCCGGACATTTTTTATTTTATCTGGTATTTGGACATTTTTTGATACAGACATTTGTTAATCAGGACATCTGTTGTTTAACCCAGACACTTGTTAATCAGGACATTTGTTATTTAATTCAGACATTTGTTAATCCAGACATATGTTTATCCGGACAATGTTGATCCGCACATTTGTTGTTTAATCCTGACTTTTGTTAATCCGGGCATTTGTTAATCTAAACATTTGACATTCCGGACATTTGTTAATTCAGAAAGTTGTTAATCCGGACATTTGTTGATCCACACGTTTGTTGCTCAATTCAGTCCGGATTGATGGGGTTTATATGTACAATGATCATGTAAGTTCCCAACTCAGTGTTATCACACACCCGTATGTACACATCAATAAAGCCTTTAACCATACAGTGTTGTCCATCGTTTATTTTGTCACCACCATGCATATGTTAATATAAATACATTCGAAACAGCAACCCGTGCTTGGTGTAAAGGGCGACTATGCGGGATCGGGTGGTCAGGCTCGCTGACTTGGTTGATGCATGTCATCGTATCCCAATTGCGTGTATCGATGCTCATGATGTCAATGACTGGATTGTCTGGTCCTGACTTGATTATTTACATTCCGCCGTCATATAGCTGGAATATTGCTGAGTGCGGCGGTAAACAACAAACAAGCAAGGAAAACATTCGAAACATTTTGCATGATCTAGAACTGTCTACATGTATAGGTTTGACAGTGAACTTCGTTCACTCGATATTCTGTGAACAGTCGAAATGATGTCGAGTTATTCATAGTTCGAGATAAGTGCCGTGTCGAGTTTCTGAAGTTACAACTACAACGTATACCAGTAACGTATGGCGACGTATGAGAAGGTTTGCCAAAACGCCGGCAACGCTGAAACACGCCATGGATAAGTTAGGTGTTAAAAGTATGCTGGTATACGTTGAAGTACGCCGAGACTTAAAATACATTTTTGTGCATGCACAAACTTTTCGGTGTATGGGAACGTATGAAGGTATGAATTATACGTTAGACATACGTTAGAGGAACGCTCTTCATACGTTTACATCACGTGACAGTCACGCGATACAAAATCATGCCTCTAAAACTGAAGAGTGCCCGGAATTCTAAATATAGCACAGGGATTCCCCTGGTTATGAACAATGTCCGACCTAAGAGTTACTCTCAGAGTCTCACTTAACTCTTAGCTAAAAGTTACGCTCAGAGTCATTATGATTACACTCCTAAGTGTAACACTTAGCTAGGAATTTTCTTAGCGAGTTAAGAGTATTCTTAAGAAAATTCTAAGAATGTTTATGAATACGGCCCGTGTTTGGCACCTTTCCCCACGCTAACGCTGAGCGCGCAAGTCATACGTTACTCAAACACTGGGCATACGCTGGTCATACTTTGAACACGCCAGAGAGACGCTGGCAATACGCTTGTATACGCTGTCATAAGTTATAGTGATACGCTGCTAATACATTAGACATGCGTTACATATACGGTAAACTCTTGTTTTGTATACGCTATGGATACGCTAAAATCATGGTTTTTCGATGAAAGATCGAGGTATGACAGCATACCAACTGCCTTTTACACGCTAGGTGCAGGTTACTCTAAAACGTTGTGGTGGGACAGGCCATTACAGTGTTCTCAGTACCCCTAGTGTGCAGTACATGCACCCTATGCACTTAAAACAACCCACTCCGCCGATGGTAGATGACCAGATGGCGGAAAGACGAATACGTACAGACGCCCAAGCGTCAAAACGTGTGGTGTGACCCTTGGCAAGTGACTTAGTTCAAATGTGCCTCTGTTCACCCAGCGGGAAATGGGTACCCGATATGTGAGGTTGATGTAAAAACCTAGAGCCCTTAGGCAGCTTAGGTTGTATTCTCCCCAGGGAGTTGAGAATGATAACTGGAATGCGAACGGATCCAGTGGTCGGGCAACAAATTCAACCGCATTTTAGCAGATACTAGTACCTGCGGTATATAAATGTATAATATAATAGGAAACATATCATACACGCCCTTGATCGGTAGACTGTTGCTGTGCAGAGTTGCCCCTCTTACCCGGGTTAAGATCCGATGATCGTGCATCTGGATCCTGTAATCTCATATAATATCGTATATATTCTACTGTAACTGCTGACCGTCTCTGTGGTCTAGTGGTAGAGCGTCCGCCCGGAGAGCGGAAGGTCGGAGTTCGATATTCGTCAAAAGACGTTAAAAGATGGTATTTGTTGTTACCCTGCCTGACGTTCGGCATTAAGGGGCTAAAACAAGGACTGGTCGGCTCGGAGTCATTAAACTGTGTCTGAGTGGGGTATTCATGTTGATGGTATCTCAGTGGGCTAGCACTATAAAACTGGCATTAGTCCAGACTAGTACAAGAGCCACACACCCACACACCCACACGCACACACACACACACACTCACACACTCACACACACACACACACACACACACACACACACACACACACACACACACACACACACACACACACACACACATCCCCAATATGGGGTGAGTTTGGTTTACCGATAATTTCAACAGTATTCAAGTTTCATCAAGTCAGCTTCATGTGGGAGGAAATCCCCAAGTTATTCAAATTTTAGACGCTTTTCACTTTTGTGAAACCCACGAGCAGGAGTATAATTCTGAAGACTCCGAGTTAACCAGTGTTGTTATATATTGAGTCCCTGGCGTGTCTTATATTATGTATGTCTTGAATACATTATTGCAATGAAGAAAACATTTTGATTTTCTAAAAAGACACTATTGCAGTGGTATATGTTTATGTTGTACGAAAACTCTATCGCGAAACATACTATATGAAGCGCCGTAAAATCAACACATTTGACAAGTTAAAACTCGAACTCTTGATATTGCTTTTGGGGGCTAATTCGTCATTGTTAAATATTTCTACCTATAGGTCTACATTGGAAAGTATATCAGTCCAAACAAATCTGATTCAAGTAACTTGTAAGGACGTTGTTTATCTGTCAATCTTTGAAGTTACACCATTCTTGTAGTTAACGATGATCAACAATACGCAAGGCTCTTGGCACAAGGCACTAATAATGACGTCGACATCTAAATTCAGACTGGAACTTGACGCAACACCATCAAGCTTAAACATAGTTACTCATCAATATATCGGCCTGTGTCAGACGGGACAATACCCTAGGTTGGGCGTGGTGCTCAAGTTCGACTCGGAGTTTCATTTATGCTGCATACATACTATATTCAAGGACAAATTCATTTCATACTCGGGGGCACGGGTGGCCAAGTCGTACAAGGCGCAGCGATTGGCTGTGCAGAGTTGCGTCCAAGAAAGCTATGATTGTGGGTTCGAATCCCGGTTCGCCCCAATTATGTTTCTAGGTTTGTCAGCACCATACCCGTGCTCGTGGGTTTCACCGAAGTGGTAAACGTCTGAGACCTGCATCACTTCGGGCTTTCCTCCCACATTAAGCTGACACGCCGTGATATAACTGGAATAATGTTAAAAGCGGCGTTAAACCCAACTCACCCACTCACTCATTTCATACTCATATCAATGTATTTATAAGTTACATATGATAATACTAATGGTTATAATATAAGAATCAATGATTTTTAAAAGGGCGTATTTAAGGCGTACATAGGTGAAGAAGAAAGCCAAATATCACATGCTTATTCTATTTATAAAAAAAATTAGGTGAGGTAAAATGGGAAGATAATTTACTTATAAAGCGAGTCTAGTTTAATAATGTTCTTAGTCCCGACACGACATACATAACTCCGAGCAAACCGGTCCTTGTTTTCTCCTCTTAATTAAGTGCAGGTTAACAGTAAATACCATCTTTAAACGTCTTGGTCCCTTCTCCGAGTAAACTCGCTATCCAAGGAGGAGTTTTTCCTTGGGGCATTGGGCTTATTTCGATGGAGAGTCTGTTTGGGTTTGTGAAAGCGACATTTTCCTATACAGTCTATACCTAAACGTTGTACTCAGTGTCATGTGATAGATGGACACATGATCTGTGTGTAACATTTGATGATAATATCAAGACGCGATTAACGTGTGTGACATGTGGATGTGAACTCGTGTTTATAGGATTACCATGGGAACACATGTAACTGAACTCCTGTATGTAGGATTCCCCATGGGAACACATGTAACTGAACCCCTGTATGTAGGATTACCATGGGAACACATGTAACTGAACTCCTGTATGTAGAATTCCCCATGGGAACACATGTAACTGAACCCCTGTATGTAGGATTACCATGGGAACACATGTCACTGAACTCCTAGGTAGGATTACCATGGGAACACATGGAACTGAACGCCTAGGTAGGATTACCATGAGAACACATGTCACTGAACTCCTAGGTAGGATTACCATGGGAACACATGTAACTGAACGCCTAGGTAGGATTACCATGGGAACACATATCACTGACCTCCTAGTTAGGATTACCATGGGAACACATGTCACTGAACTCCTGTATCTAGGATTACCATGGGAACAGAGCATACATGTAACTGAACGCCTAGGTAGGATTACCATGGGACCACATGTCACTGAACGCCTAGGTAGGATTACCATGGGAACAAATATCACTGAACGCCTAGGTAGGATTACCATAGGACCACATGTCACTGAACTCCTGTATGTAGGATTACCATAGGGACACATGTCACTGAAGTCCTAGGTAGGATTACCATGGGAACACATGTCACTGAACTCCTAGGTAGGATTACCATGAGAACACATGTGACTGAACTCCTGTCTGTAGGATTACCATGAACACACATGTGACTGAACCCCCGTAAGTAGGATTACCATGGGAACACACGTGTCTGAACTCCTGTAAGTAGGATTATCATGAACACACATGTGACTGAACCCCTGTAAGTAGGATTACCATGAACACACGTGTCTGAACTCCTGTATGTAGGATTACCATGGGAACACATGTGACTGAACTCCCGTAAGTAGGGTTACCATGAACACACGTGTCTGAACTCCTGTATGTAGGATTACCATGGGAACACACGTGTCTGAACTCCTGTAAGTAGGATTATCATGAACACACATGTGACTGAACTCCTAGGTTGGACTACCATTGTAACACATGTGACTTAACTTCTGTAAGTAGGATTACCATGAACACACATGTGACTGAACTCCTAGGTTGGACTACCATTGTAACACATGTGACTGAACTTCTGTATGTAGGATTACCATGAACACACATGTGACTGAACTCCTAGGTTGGACTACCATTGTAACACATGTGACTGAACTCATGTAAGTAGGATTACCATGGGAACACATGTGACTGAACTCCTGTATGAAGGATTACCATGGGAACACATGTGACTGAACTCCTAGGTTGGACTACCATTGTAACACATGTGACTGAACTTCTGTAGGTAGGATTACCATGGGAACATATGTGACTGAACTCCTGTATGTAGGTTTATTATGAGATTTGATTTGAACTTCCTTACTCAAATACGAATTTCCATATAGCACTGTTGTAAAGAGTAACCATGACTGTGAATAACTTGACATACCTGTTTCTGTAATTAAAATCCTAATCTCCCCTCCCGTGTAGCACGTTCTTAAATTGTGTAACGATCTCTGCCCCTTCTAGGTTTTCTGGTGGCGTATTATTCCAAAGTTGTGCTGTAGCTGGTATAAATGAATCTGCATAAGCTTTTGTTTTACACTTCACTGTTTGAAGATTAGTTTCATCCGTTAAATTATACTTAGTGCTTTTCGAAACTGTATAAGGAATAAATTTTCTGTACTTGTACCCCGGACAGAGCCACTTATGATTCTAAACACGTTTCTTACAGTGTACGCACTCATTCATTGAATACACAGTGCTTATCGTAAGAGGCGACTAACGGGATCGGGTGGTCAGGCTCGCTGACTTGGTTGATGCATGTCATTGTATCCCAGTTGGTTGGATCGATGCTCATGGTGTCAGTCACTGGATTGTCTGGTCCAGACTCGATTATTTACAGACCGCCACCATATAGCTGGAATATTGCTGAGTGCGGCGTTAAACAACAAACAAACAAAACAAACAAACACAAACAGAAAGACGAAGGCATGATCAAAGGGGATTATAGTATTATCACAGTTAACGAATCAGTGCATTTATGCACACATTCCTGGTGTCATCTACCATTAAAAAAACAATCAACATTTGTTTTGTATCATTCCACATTTTGTATTTGACTCCGAAACATGATCATAAAAATGAAAGACAACATCGACACATGAACATGAGCGCTGGATTACTTGAGGAAGTTCAACAGAGAAGCTGTAATCGTTACCGACAAACGTTGCGATAAATGTCTGAATAGGTTTAATCTTACATATTGCATTATAAGTATGACAAGAACTCGTTGGGGAACATCGTTAAAGTATTCTCCCAAGTAAGCTGACGACCACGAGGAAGGAGGTTGGCACCAACAGAATCAAACTTGAACCGGACGTTGCTGGCGACCCTGAAATCAATCAAAACTATGTTAATCCAAGACAACTAACCAGATAACTCACCATCCCAAGCATACATATACACAGAAAGACACCACTGCATAAACAAATTTTCAAGAGCAACTACATACACTGTATATGTATTTAAATGTGTACTTGTATATTTTTATCTATGGGACAGAGTACCCCAATGGCCAAAGGCGCCACAAAGAGTTGCACCCTATAGGCTAAATTATAGCTAAAATGGATAGAATTATCATAAAAACGCCCGCATGTTATCAGAAATGAGTGGGCCACTGTAACTTGATAATGCCCTCATATTACTTGACGACGGGCCATTATCACGCCCGTTGTTAGGTGACGTCATAGGATAGGGGTAGGTGACGTCACGTTCAATAGTGACGTCATCTGGTTTGTTCTATGACGTTTCCATATTTGTAAAAGTGGGCCAGTGACATTCGTGTTGATTGCAGTAAATGTTTCAAAATCGACATTGTTGTTTCTTTTTATTTGATAACAAATTCCATCCATTTTAGCTATAATAACGGTAACGCTATTTTTCAGGGCATTATCATTTGCAGAAGCCCTCAGTCTTTTCAACTGCCCTCCTTCGTCGGGCAGTTAATGGAAGACCTCGGGCTTCTGCAAATGATAATGCCCTGAAAAATAGCGTTACCCTTATATTGTGAAACGTGAATCATTAAGATCTGCAACACTTCGGACTTGCCCCCATATCAAGCTGACACTCCGTGGCGTAACTGAAATACTGTTCAACGACGCATCAAAGTCACTCACTCACTCTGTTTCTTTGAAGATATCACGTTTACAAGTTATTAGCAAACGTTACACAAAATGTACCTAGGTTTGAAAGGGAATGATAATTTGAGGTGTGGCTTTATTTTTGAACTCCTTATGCACTTAAACGATATTACCTTACCTGATCTGTATCAAGAAGTGGTTTCGTTTGTACAGAGATGTTTAATCCATCTTTTATATTCTATATTCCATCATAAGTACCATCAATCTTCTGTTGTTAGCAATGTTTAGGCTCACAAGGACATGTTACTCTGGTTTTATGTGGGGCGGTCGGGTAGCCTAGTGGTTAAAGCGTTCGCTCGTCACGCCGAAAACCCGGGTTCGATTCCCGACATGGGTACAATGTGTGAAGCCCATTTCTGGTGTCCCCCGACGTGATATTACTGGAATATTGCTAAAAGCGGCGTAAAGCCATACTCGCTCACTCACTCACTCTGGTTTTATGTCTCTATCTCTCTAGGTCTCTGCAATCGCTATTATTTAAACATAGAAATGGGTGTCTGTTTGTTTGATGTCAGTAGAGTTCCAGTTATATCAGGGCATCCTGTAAATAATCGAGACAAGGCTGACACACCCGAGGTTGATGTAATGAGCACCATCAAATGCTGTCGGGGTACGATGACATGCAATTAACCATGTCACCGAAACTGACACAAGTGATTGTTTGTTTGTTAGTTGTTTAAGTCCGCATTCAGCAATATTGCAGCTATATAACGGCGGTCTATAAATAATCGAGTCTGGACAAGTGATTGACATAATGAGCATCGATCCATGTAATTGGGATACGATGACATGCATCAACCGAGTCAGCGAGCCTTACCACCCGATCCCGCTAGTCGTCTCTGACAACAAACATTTTCGCCTTTTACAGCAAGCATGGGTTCCTAAAGATCTATTCTACCCCGGATCGTCACACGTGTATCAGGGATGTACTCTGACCAGGATCCCCATGGAGTGTGAATAACATCTAATTAAAGAGACCTACCATTTTTGCTACGTAATAACCCCAGGAGCATTTGGAATCTCTCCTGACTGTCTGCCGTCATGTCACCCTTGTCCATCCCCTGAAGGTCCTGGAGTGCATCTGTTGATTCAGCAGCCGTCAACCCAGAGAAGATCGACACAACGTTCCTGAATAGGTCATCCGGCAAGTTGAATATATCCGAAAACTTCACCATACGGCTTTTCACATTCTTTGACTTAAAAAAGCCCTTGATTTTATCGAAAATTGACGTTTTCTTTTTCAACTTTGCTTCGACAGTAACCATCTGTAGAATGATAGTCACTACCACACATGCAATGAGGAACCTGTTGCAGCCTCTCATGGTTGTCTGAAACTAAATATATAAACGTTTTCCGGAATTATAAATCCCTTTTAAGATGGCTGGTTTAAGTCAGCGTAGAGTTGTGCAGACATTATTTAAACTGACGTAACACCACCTGAGGTTTACTGTAGTATTGCCTAATGACGTCAGAGTTGGATCACCCCAGAGAACATAGATTGATAGAATAGGGAAAAACCTCACATAGATTGATCGAATAGGGAAAAACCTCACATGGATTGATAGAATAGGGAAAATCCTCACATAGATTGATAGAATAGGGAAAATCCTCACATAGATTGATAGAATAGGGAAAAACCTCACATGGATTGATAGAATAGGGAAAATCCTCACATAGATTGATAGAATAGGGAAAAAACCTCACATAGACTGATAGAATAGGTAAAAACCTCACATAGATTGATAGAATAGGGAAAAACCTCACATAGATTGATAGAATAGGGAAAATCCTAACATAGATTGATAAAATAGGGAAAATCCTCACATAGATTGATAGAATAGGGAAAATCCTCACATAGATTGATAGAATAGGGAAAATCCTCACATAGATTGATAGAATAGGAAAATCCTCACATAGATTGATAGAATAGGGAAAATCCTCACATAGATTGATAGAATAGGGAAAATCCTCACATAGATTGATAGAATAGGGAAAATCCTCACATAGATTGATAGAATAGGAAAATCCTCACATAGATTGATAGAATAGGGAAAATCGTCACAGAGATTGATAGAATAGGGAAAATCCTAACATAGATTGATAGAATAGGGAAGCTCCTCACATAGATTGATAGAATAGGGAAAATCCTCACATAGATTGATGGAATAATGAAAATCCTCACATAGATTGATAGAATAAGGAAAATCCTCACATAGATTGATAGAATAGGGAAAATCCTAACATAGATTGATAGAATAGGGAAACTCCTCACATAGCTTGATGGAATAGGGAAAATCCTCACATAGATTGATAGAATAGGAAAATCCTCACATAGATTGATAGAATAGGGAAAACCCTCACATAGATTGATAGAATAGGGAAAATCCTCACATAGATTGATGGAATAAGGAAAATCCTCACATAGTCATCCAGAACGGCCAAACAATTAAAGATCTTGCGCATATACAATAAACTACGTTTATAACGAACACGCTTATAACGAACTGACGGATATAACGAACTTAGTTTTTAGTCCCGACCATTTGTTGTAGATATGCTGTATGTATGCTTATAACGAACTACGGTTATTACGAACTAAAATTAGTGGTCCCTGCGAGTTCGTTATAACCGTAGTTTACTGTATATCTAGTTCTATACGTTTCCTTACCTGGTGGCAATACAGAACCCAGTTCACGTCAGCGACTCTTCTGAATTATTAACCCAACATCAACTACTTAAATACCAATATCACGGAAACAGTTCATATAATATTTCACGGGAATGTTATGCACGATGAATGACTAATTAGGACTTTATTAATATGTATTATCGTGTTTGTTGTCATAAGTGTGTGCATATCATTATGTAAACATTCTACTGTGAATATATGTCCATATATGTCCATGAACATGGACCTGGGGCCATGTAAGTTGTGGGCTTCAGCGACAACGATCTCTGTGGTTGCGTTCATTCAATTTCCTAGGAATTAGCGGAAATTAGACGCAGATATGAACACGATATTGTTATAAAAAATTTGGTAAAAGATTGGTTGATTGAATGTGGGCATTGTTGAGTGAGAGTGGGTGAGTGGGTAGAGCTTTACTCCATTAGAAATAGTCGGGCAATAAAAGATTTGATTCACACTTTGTACCATTTCGAACTCGGGTCTTCTATATGACGAGCGAAAGTTTCACTCCCAGGCTAACCAACCGTCCTTGACGGCATATTGACACTGTTGTTTCACAGCAATGTTACAGTATATACAGAAGGCTCTACGTCTTACCTACAACTGAATAAAGAGATTACCAGAAACAATTCATCACATTTCATTTTGTAAATTGATGTGCAGCAGAAAACATACATTGAAAATTGGATGAGTAAAACATTACAAGCTAGGCTGAAAACAGTCACCGAAACAGTTCAGTCTTAAGGTCGACACAACCCGGGCTTGAAATACCGTAAACTACGGTTACAACGAACTCGCAGGGACCACTAATTTTTGTTCGTAATAACCGTAGTTCGTCATAAGCATACATACAGCATATCTACAACAAATGGTCGGGACTAAAAACTTAGTTCGTTATATCCGTCAGTTCGTTATAAGCGTGTTCGTTATAAACGTAATTGACTGTATCGCATTTCATACACGTATCAAATACATCATCATAGAATATCCCTTTCTTATGTGTTTCATTTACGAAGCTCGTTTCATGTTTCATTTATTTGCCTGGTTGTTTGGAATACATTTGAATACATATCACGACGGTTGGGGTCCTTTCTCACGATGTCAGCCATTTGTTTAATGACCCAGAATCGATTATGTTACGGCCACCGTGTTATGTCTGGAATATTGATAATTTAGGCCAAAATAGTTGAAACGGCTTCATTGCATCGTTTAATCTCAAGTAGATTTTGGCATGTCCAAGATATACAAAAAGTACAGACAACATAGCTAATTAGATTTCTATTACTATTATTATTTTTACTTATATTTGTATTACGTTTTCAGCCGTTTTTTATCAATAATTTGCTAATTGCGGCGTGAATGTGTTCATGCCCCATTGTATTATTCCCACTGCGTCTTTGATCTATGGCTGCGATAGTACCGATGCGACGTTAAAGTTTAACTCACTCACTCTTTGATCGTTCCCATGGCGGGGGTAGGGGATGGGAGATGTGGGGGTGCAAAGGGTGAGATCAACACAATACCAAATATAGGTCTACCGGGTGAAGTCGCTGACCACGTCAGTATATTTACATTTGCGCACCTTCAAAGATATGCAAGGGCGGAAGTTAATGTAGGGACTTTCCTATTCCTGATCATGACATATACATCAGAGTGTTCCTCATCAACTATGTATATAAGAGTTGGGCCGAGCTTCACTGAACATCCGCCTTCATAACGCTCAGACATTCTGTGGGGAGCCGACAGATCGTTCAGGTAACGCTAATTTATTGACAGTTTGTCCACATATGACAAGGGACCGGCGAAGTGGCCCACAGGTTGTTGCGTTCGCCTGTCCTGCCGGTGACTCGGGTTCGAATTCCAAATTCGGGACTGCCAATTTTATATTCTAGGGGGATTTTGTGTCGAGGACAGATATTTGTATACGCCTGAATTATTTCTAAAGAGATACACCCTGCAACATATGTACATTTTGTGGCAGGCAATTTTCGTTTTCACCAGTCTGAAGCAAAATTATATTTTTCAAGAATTTACGAGACAATTTATTTTTGTCGATATCACCTAAACACCCAAGCAATTTTCTTGTTACTTCGAGTTATTTCTCATTACTTCGAGTTTATTTCGAAAACTGTCGAACCTTGAACTGTCGAGGTTTTTCTCGTTACTTCGATTATTTTCTTGCTATTTCAACTATTTTCTCGTTTGTTCCATTAATTTTACGTTATTTCGAATATTTGCTCGTTATTTCAAGTTTATTTAAAAAACTCGAAATTTCTATTTTTGTTCTCTTTACTTCGATTATTTTCTCGGTATTTCAATTATTTTCTCGAAATGTCTTTTTTGTTCTAGTTTCTTCGATTATTTCATCGTTATTTCAATTACTTACTCGAAAAAATAATCGCAGAAATAAATCGAATTTTCAAGAAAATATTGAAATACAGAAATTAAAATGCGAAATTTCGAGTTTTTTAAATAAACCTGAAACAACGAATAAATAATCGATGTAACGAGAAAAAAATCGAAATTTCGATAAAAATAATAATTATGGTACCAAAGTGGGATCATTAGGCTTTCGTACGATTTTGACTATAACCCACGCCAAAGGGTCTCTTGCAGCCATGATGCAATGGTACCGCTTCGACGACCCTGCGAACTTAAACCGACATATGACGACTCTCGACATTCTCGATATTGACCATATCAGTTTATTAGTATCTCACTTAACAGAAAAGGGATTTATCTCAATGCTAGATCGGACATGTTGCTGCAGTTCATTTAAGATGGTTTTACTTTCGTTCAAGGTAACTATGAGAGTCCAGTCAAAATATATCCTTGCCTGCGTTGTCATGTCTGTCATTCTCCAGACAGCAACTTCGCACAAAGACGTCAGAAACTCGGATGATTCTAAACTGAATCGAAACAAACGAGCCTTTGGATCCCTGTTGAAGATAGGAAGTCAGCTTCTCGGCCCTATCCTTAGTGGTCCAGTGGATGCATTTGGGAACTTCCTATCCAGCATCTTCGGTCTCGGGGGACGTGAGTCAGCAAGAGACGCAGAAGAGTTGAGGAAACAGATGGAGCTCGAGAAAGAAAAGATGACTAAAGAGGAGCACAAACGTGCTGAGATGGTGCTAGCGCTACTCCAGGCCAACATGGATAAAACAAACGGAGGTAGGCCGGACATTAATGTACTTTGACAACATGCTCGGCAGTGAGTGAGTGTGCGAGTGTGCGAGTGTGCGAGTGTGCGAGTGTGTTTGTTTTGTTTTGTTTTGTTTGTTGTTTTACGCCACACTCATCAATATTCCAGCTATATAACGGCGGTCTGTAAATAATCGAGTCTGGACCTGATAATCAAGTGGTTGATATCATGAGCATCGACCCACGCAATTGGGATCGATGACATGCTTCAACCAAGTCAGTTTGTTTTGGGGTTTTGGTGGGTGAGTGGGTTTGAAGTTTGGGTGGTTGAGGGCTGATTGAGTGAGTGAGTGGGTGCGTGTGTAGGTGGATGACTTGTTGAGTGAGTGAGTGGGTGAGTGTGTAGGTGGATGACTGGTTGAGTGAGTGAGTGGGTGAGTGTGTAGGTGGATGACTGGTTGAGTGAGTGAGTGGGTGAGTGTGTAGGTGGATGACTGGTTGAGTGAGTGAGTGGGTGAGTGTGTAGGTGGATGACTTGTTGAGTGAGTGAGTGGGTGAGTGTGTAGGTGGATGACTGATTGAGTGAGTTAGTGGGTGAGTGTGTAGGTGGATGACTGGTTGAGTGAGTGAGTGGGTGCGTGTGTAGGTGGATGACTGGTTGAGTGAGTAAGTGAGTGCGTGTGTAGGTGGATGACTGGTTGAGTGAGTGAGTGGGTGCGTGTGTAGGTGGATGACTTGTTGAGTGAGTGAGTGGGTGATAGGTGTGTTTTAGGGTTTGGATGGTTGAGTGAGCGAGTGAGTGAGTGAGTGAGTGAGTGAGTGAGTGATTAGTTGGGCGCGGAGGTGGTAAAGTTATGATTTTCCTCTTACAGCAAACCTCAAGTCGTATCAAGGCAGGTACATCCAGCCTGGGCTTTTCATATCGCATACATGTGCGGAACTGAACGAGCAAACGCGGGCATGCGTGCCTGCGTGCGTGTCTGTGTGTGTCACAGTTAGATCATCCGGGTTATCACATTTCCAGATTAACGAATCATTGGTACTAAATCATTATACAAGCATTATGCTATTTTCAGGAACCGATTCAAGGGAATATATTGCTTTCTCTAATAGGAGTACAACAATGTTTCAAGACTTCGAGTGAACAATTCATGATTGAGTCAACCTGAGGCCAAAATAAAATGTCAGACAATCGCTTGATCTGTTACGAACAGGAAATAGTCCTTTCATTACCATAGTCAGTATGAGTAATAAAAAATAAACTTAATTCCTTCTAATTAACTATAATTTTGTGAAGTCATTTTAACCCTCTCTCTGTCAACTTCCAGAAAACGTTTCTATAATAGAGACAAATCGTGTCATCTACGCCAATATTGCATTTCTCTAATTTAGCGAATCTTCTGTGACTGACATTAATTTCATCTTTACTGCTTTTACAGGAACAAGGCAAATGTCTTCAACTGGTGCCTGGTTGGCAGCCCCCGCCATGATCCTCGTGTTTTTCGGTTCACTTTAAAATATAATAATGATAATAATCAGCATTTGCATAAATGGACGTTAATAAAATTGTTCAAAATGTTAAATACACAGTTGTAAATAAAGTATGTGTATCAACATTCTGATCTGTGTTCGTGTTATTTCACCAGGAACATACAGCTTATCACGCGAGTGTGTTTTGGGATGGTAAATATCCTGTATTAGAAATAAACATTGTATTTAGCGAGCTTGGCGTTTGCCCTCGCAATATTGTTTCGCAATTTATATCTCCAGAGTTGCAAAAACTTGTAAAACTACTTAGCTAGTCACAGTTCGACAGTGATTTTCAGAATTTTAGTCTACTCTTTTAAGAATGAAAGCAATTATCTAGGTTGCTTCTCCTAATTCCCGATGGTTAATTCTGACGCGATAGCCGAATGACAAGGGCGACGCCATGTTTGTTTATAAACAGTGAAAGTAGTCCCTAATTAACCTTTGTTTTTCGCATCTCTATTCCCACATGACCCCAACGGATATCGTTTTTATTATCCGTTGGCTATATACTGCCGAGAAACTTACCCATTATATGATACACTTGATATAGATGTGTTACCTCGAAACTAGCTGTACAGCCTGACTCCCGACAGTGATATTAGATATGAATTCGCACACTGGGTCAACACAATTTATTGTGACGAAAAGTATTCTCACTCGAATTACATGTGGTTGTATCTTCATATAAGCATGCATTTATGCATACGCACACGCAAGCTTACACCCACGCTCCATACAAGGAAGTGCATGTACCACATAGAAATTCAATATTTGTGAAAGAACGACACCAGATATGATACAACCAGACCTTTTTCAAATGTACTAAATATCTTTTCTGAAAGAAAGATTGAAGTAAACATGACGACGTATGCATTTCATAATTGCAGCTTTTAAGTTTGAATTCTTACATTTTCGCAAGCAAAACGAGTCTCTCTCGTCAGTACATGATTACGGCGTGAGGGAGATCATTGCGAAAACAGGAAAATCCCATGAGAATGTAGAGAAGATATTGTTACGTGAAGATTTATTAGACATACCGGTCGCCATGGTAACGGGACTGCACGTTTTTAAGCCTTGAGCTTTATTGCGAATATTTTCTATTTAAGTTGTGTAACATTTTATCCAAATTTTAGCGAAAGGCTAAACGATAAAGGATGAAAATAAGAAAGTGAGAATGAATAATCCATGTGTTATAAAACAATACTCTAAAATGGAATGACAGAGCAAACACAAGACATGATTTTCTTTTTCAGCTAGAAAATAAGGAGTCAACACGTTCAAAATTTAATTTTTACCTGTTAAAAAAGTAACAACAAACCAAAATGTCATTGATGCCTTTTGTCATATGCGTTTAAAATGTCCCACTGAATATCCAGCATATCACCTGCATTTAGGGACCAATGTGCCTTTTAAATGTGGAAACCTCGTTTAAGGTACAATATTGGTGTGACAATTGCCCATATAGAAGCGTGCTACAACACATGTCGAAGAATATCCGGTTTGGGACATGAGTCAATTTAATTTAAGCCTGTATGAGCCTTGGAACGTTTAATTTTCCGTCGACGGGGCTTAAAGACGTGCAGTCCCGGTAAGATGACAATCTGTGCAGAAACTTTTAAAATAGATTATACATCATGTAAATGTACTAATGTGGTTTTATTCAAAGCATTACATGATTGCGCAGTGGTTAGATAGTGATAGATGTTGGCATTGTAGTTCGGCAGTACTACAATGGTTTTGTACATGGCTTTTCTGTGGCCATAAACTTTTTAGTCGTCGGTGGCTTAAAGATTGCTGAAAACGGCAATCAACCTAAATTCGCTCACTTGCCGTCAACCCATGAAGATCCGGGTTAGAATTATGAATACACAATGCCTTTTAGAAAGTGGTCAAATGTGACAAATGCTATATAAACACCAGCACTCAAAGTCAGCGATCTAACCCAATCAGCAACTGAGGCTTACACAAAATAAAAGCCCGACAACTGGTAGTCTAATTGTCGTACGGGGGCACGGGTGGCCCAGTCGTCCAAGGCGCCGCGATTCGCTGTGCAGACTTGCGTCCCTTGGGTACGCCAGGAACCTATGATTGTGGGTTCGTATCCCGGTTCACCCCGATTATGTTTCTAGGTTTATCAGCACATACCCGTGCTCGTGGGTTTCACCGAAGTGGTAAACTTTTGACACCTGCATCACTTCGGGCTTTCCCCTACATAAAGCTGAGACGCCGTGATATAACTGGAATACTGTTAAAAGCGGCGATAAACCCTACTCACTCACTCACTCACTCACTCACTCATTGGTTCTCGTAGTTTGTGTATCCCTCTGACAAGTGTAAATTGGCGCGGCTCACAAAGGACGAGATCAAGCCCACAACGGTTGTGCAAGCAGTCTCACTTCCACCAGTAAATCATCAGGCTAATATTGTGAATAGATGATAATGTAGTACTTCATGACAACAATAGAGGAGATTAAGTGAACAAATAAGACCGTTATTTAGTTTGTGGATTCCTGAAATAGTTTTGGACAGAAGGACCGTGGTGGCTGTCCCGGTCGGTAGTCGGGAGACATTCCAGTGTAAAGTGGATGGTCTAGTTGAAAGGGTACAGGTGGAATGTGTGTGTGTGTGTGTGTGTGTGTGTGTGTGTGTGTGTGTGTGTGTGTGTGTGTGTCAAATTCAGAGGGGCGGTCGGGTAGCCTAGTGGTTAAAGCGTTCGCTCGTCACGCCGAAGACCCGGGTTCGATTCCCGACATGGGTACAATGTGTGAAGCCCTTTTCTGGTGTCCCCCGCCGTGATATTGCTGGAATATTGTTGAAAGCGGCGTAAAATCAAACTCACTCACTCACTCACTCAAATTCAGAAGGGTAAAATAAATATCCATGATAGTTTGAGTTTGCGTCGTTTACGTCTCTGACCGGCAGTGAGGATGGAAGGGGATCTCTGTACGGATTCGGGACCTTGTAAGTCATATGATCTGTACGGACTTGGTGTGTCAACGTTCTAGCTGAGACCAGACATCTCACATGTCTGTGTACACATCACATTGAAACCTGCTGTAGGACTGTCGCATACAGCTTGCTCTTACTCTTTTCACTCGCACTGGGTGATAAATCCCCACTACACGTGAGTTGAATTGATATGTCACACACACTCCAGAAGGTAGCGTACTCTCGTTTCACGAATGGATGTATGAATGACTGAATGGATGGGACCAGCGTCGGACATTTGTTCACTTCGTCCTCTGTGTAAGCATTGAGGTGAATCCGTGACACCTGCAGCGTGTGGTTATTGACCTCATATAACGGGAGCTTCAGCGAGGGACTACACACCATACGTAATGCGTTTTCAAACACATACAAGTGTGTTGTTGTTCATGATTTTAAAAATCGTATTTTTTTATATATTTGTTTGTCATGAGAAGAAAATGCATTACATATGTAGTGAAAACTGACAACATTACGATAGACAAAGGAAAAACAAGATAATCAAGTTTTGAGATATATTTATTCACTGATTGGGACAGCAGCAGCTGCAGCTGTTGCAGTTGTTTATGGTGTTGGAGTGATTCGTACGTGGGTACCAGTAGTAGTAGTAGTAGTAGTAGTAGTAGTAGTAGCCCCGTCATTAGAATTGGTGACACCTGAGGCCGGGGCAGCCACCTGTAACGGTTGTCCCGTTACCATCTGCGACATGTTGCTGTCGTTGTTGATGACGTTCATGTTGTTGTTCCCCACCGGAGGATAGGGAGATGTAGGAGGAAGAGGCAATGAATACCCCCAAGAGTTGGTGGTTGGTGTCCACGGTGTAGCGCCTGGTGCTGGTGTCCACGGTGTAGCCCCTGGTGCTGGTGTACACGTTGGTGTACACGTTGGTGTCGGAGTGACTGATGTCCACGGTGCAGCAGCAGCAGCGGCAGCCGCTGGTGTTGGTGGTGAACTCATCGTACTTGGTGTTGGAGGAGTAGGTCTATAAGGGAGTGGTGGTGGGTAGTCGGGAGATCTCGGGACGTACGGTGCACCTACAATATATATAAAAGTCAAGTCGTTGAAAGTACTACTACGAAGTTTAAAATTTCTGGGGGAAACGATAAAGATTAACATCATTATGTATTCTAATACATTTGAAATCTATCTTACTTTAAACTGCACGGTTAATAGATCATATTTATTGTTTAACATATATTATGAATTCAACCAAAATAATACTCACCTTCTCTGGCGTATGGATGGTATCTCGCCGAAAACTCCGACATCTCATCATCCGTGGCTGCCACTAATTCCATATCCTCTGCCGCTTCCCAAATTTCCTGAGCATGTTCAATTAACGCCTTAAAGGCGTCGGTAGACAGGCTCACATATCTTTCCCCTCGGGCATTCCTCTTTTTAATATGGAGGAAGGCTCGACTGCTCCTTGGGTCTATGGTGATGTCAACCGGATTGTTGAAATAAGACAGGATACGTTTGGCAGCAGTAGTAGTAGTATTGGTACTCATGATACTGGCTTGCTGGCCTGCTGGCTGGTTACCTGGGTGGCTGAGTGGTTAGCTGGGTGGCTGAGTGGTTAGCTGGGTGGCTGAGTGGTTACCTGGGTGGCTGAGTGGTTAGCTGGGTGGCTGAGTGGTTAGCTGGGTGGCTGAGTGGTTACCTGGGTGGCTGAGTGGTTAGCCGGGTGGCTGAGTGGTTAGCTGGGTGGCTGGGTGGTTACCTGGGTGGTTGAGTGGTTAGCTGGGTGGCTGGATGGTTGGTTGGCTGGCTGGAACTCGTCCTGTCGAGTGAAGGAAGTCGCGATGGACAGTGTTTTTTAAGACGTATCTACTGTCAATCACGATAACAAGTGTTGGTTAGTAATGAATGACTTGTGCATATGGTGAATACAATTTTCGGGTAATAAAACTCAATCTACTCGGATTGGATGTCAGTTTAACCAATGAATCAGTTACTGTTTGTAGGGGTGGTACTCGGATGAATCTGGTATTGGAATTTCTGCTATGACAAACTTGGATAATGGAAAATGGAAATGTCTGATTCACATAGTTGGAAATCTTGACCGTTTCTAAGTGTGCTCGTTTCTTGACTCGATAAGTAGGTAGGAGATTAAAGATTTAACTGACAAGATTAAGAACGTAATCTTGCTACATCTGCGATGTCTCTACGAGTACAAGAATTTGAAATAAAAAGGTTTTAAGGGATAGGAGACATTTTTGCACTGGTGAGGTAGGGGTGAATGGGTAGGCGTGGGTACGCATCAAAGAAAAAATAACGTAAACGACTTTCTGAGATTGATCCAAGTGCGTGAGCTGATTGCATAAAAGAAAGGTATCGTGTACCGCTATATGCACTGAGTGTATGGACTATCGTTCGTTTTAAAGATGAATTTCGAGAATGTAAAACTTTTATCATAGTACAAATAAAGTAATAAAGTAATAAGTAACATATAGCAGGGATAATGGTGGACATATTACTATAATTCTTCATCTTTGAAAGTATTTGATATTAGTAATGTATCAATTCTTCGAGAGGTGAAAATATCAGTGCATGAGCATGTGAAAATGGATAGTTATATGATTATTTCAAATCATCAATCATCAGTGTGTAGGTAATAGATTTCGATTCTAAAATCTTGAATCAATTTTTATATACAAATGAAAGTCGCCGTTATCATTGTATGAAAAATAAAAATGGAATGTCACTTGAAATAGTGTATATTTCTGTACGAGAAAGCAAGATTTGTCAGTGATGACTACATGTAAATACATTAATTCATTACAGTAGTGAATCTGAACAGCTTACAAATTGATCAGTCGGGTCCCCGAGTATACCCAACCTTTAAAGGTTTACACGGGACCTGATGCAGCCGCTGAATTTATTAGAAGTGTTATACATAGAAGACAATGATTGGATACGGGAAGAGATCTATGCAAACCCCGTTCCCCTGAGAATGACCAAGGCAGATGCATAGCCATAGAGAGCACCACAGTATGCTATCACTGCGGAGGAGATACAGATATCGGTGACGTACGTGTAGGATCAAAACCGCGTCCGAGGTTTTGTTTGGGAAGTATGCCCGCGGAGGAGGGAAAGGGGGGAGGGCCGATATGCCCGACCCCCTTTCCCGAGGCCAAGGGCTTACTTCCCAAACAAAACCGAGGGCAAGTTTTTGATCTCACTTATGAACTGATCAAAGATATGATTTTGAAATAATTTTACTAATTGGTATTAACATGAATTCATTGATATTTACTGTTGAGAGTTTAACTGCAATACGCGGGGAGTACATCCGCGCGCTGCACGTGATGCACGTGCTTCAGGCCCGTTGTAACAATGAGCGCACGTGGTTCAAGCCAGTCGAATAAATTCCACTGAAGAGGATGGACGCAGACGACAACGATATATTTCTGACAGTCAGTTTTTAAAGAATCGGCATCCTGTGCTGAAGAAGACAAGGAAAGTGATGACTTTAAATTCCGTTTTGGAGATCCAGTCTCCGAGCGTGAAATAGCCGAGAAAATTGAGATCTGTGTCCCTAGAACAACACGTTATAAAAATGACTGGGCATTCTCAACATTTAAACGTGGCAAGAAGAACGCAAGTCACGGTCAATTGCGGACAATGTTGAATTACCGCAAAAGTGCTTGACAGTGGATATAGTCGAAATGAGCCTATCTACTATGAACACCGCTTTCAAATATTTCCTTTTTGAGGCGCGGAAACAGGACGGCACCCGGTACACGGCGGACACTGTACATGGACTGTTTACCGCTCTTCACAGTGGCTTGAGGCTTAAAGGGCGAAAGGACATTAATTTGTTCGAGGATCAACAGTTTGAAGAGAGCAGAACATGTCTGGACGCTTTAATGAAGGAACTTTCTAAAAAAGGACTGGGCAGCTCTGCCAGGAAGAAAACTGAAACTATATCAATGGACGACGAAGAGCGCTTGTGGAGTAGCGGTTCATTAGGCGAAGACGACCCTCAGCAACTTGTGGATGCGGTTCTTTATCTTACCGGTAAGTAAAGTAAATCACACAGTTGTATTTCTTTATATCTTCGCAAATCACTTTTACAAATAGTATAAACTAAATCATTGGAATTTGTTCATTCACATATAAAATTTAAATATTAATGTGTGAACCTTTTTGAACACAAAAGTTTAACAGTTTGTTGAAATAATTAACTGAATTTTCATTATTGTTCATATTTGCCGTTGTCTAAAATACACATTTTCAAAACATTTACACAGGTTTGCATTTAGCACTGCGAGGAGGAAGAGAGCATAGAGCGCTGAGGCTGTTCTCGAACCCCCAAATAACAGGTCCCCACACTGACGATAATGGCAGAAAGTATCTACTCTACACGGAAGACGCGTCAAAGACTAATCACGGCGGCCTGAAGCACAGGAAGCTGGTACCGAAACAAGTCCGAGCGTATGAGAACACAGACAGCCCTAAAAGATGTTTTGTGCGTCTCTTTGAAAAGTACAGGTCTTTGTGGTAAGTGTTAAAAACACCAATGCATATTGCATGTATTACCTACGTTTAATTAGGGGTTTGGGAATTATGTATTTGATAATCGCTATATATAAATTTTGACTACATTCTAAATTTTGAATGAAATTTTCAGAAGGTGGAGTATCAGCCCACTCAATGCATTGTTTCACAAAAACAAATATTACAAGTGTCCCTTTCTATCTTATTTCCCCCAGCAAACCTGGTATTTCCGAGCAATAATATGCCTTTGTTCATCAGCTGTGGGACACCTTTGGCTGTCATACGCTAAATCACTTTGTCAGACTGTACGTGTCTGTAGACACCTTGATTTTATGCGACGTCCTGCAATCGTTTCGTCAGATGTGTAGGACAGATTATGGGTTGGAGCCTTTTCACTTTCTGAGTTTACCAGGATTTACCATGGCAAGCTGTCTCAAGCACACTGGAGCGCAACTCGGGTTATTTACCCACCCCGATTTGTACAGTTTCATTGAAAAAGGTATTCGCGGAGGGGTCAGCATGATCAGTCAGATATTCAAAGGCTAACAATCCCTACATGACCGAGTTTGATCCAACTCAGGACACCAACTATTTGCTTTACTCTGACGTGAACAGCTTGTACAGCAAAAGCATGATGGAATCATTAGCTGTGTCAGATTTTAAGTTTTTAGAGCGACATGAATTTGAGACGATAGACTGGTTGACAATTCCCTATGACGGTGATTACGGTTATGTCATAGAAGGCGATTTGTCCGTACCTGTACACTTGCATGATTTATTAATTCGTTTCATCTCGCGCCCATGCACGATGACATAGACCCGGACGAGTTGTCTCCCTACTGCAGGGATATTCTCAAACAGTTAGACATGCCTCTCACCAAATCCACGGGTAAAAAGTTGTTTTGCACCTTGAAAGACCAGACCAACGAAGTCATTCATTTCGAAATGCTTAAATTTTATCTCAGACTAGGACTACAACTGTCTCGCATTCACAAAGTCATGAGGTTTAAGCAGCGTGCATGGACGAAACCATACATCGACATTAACATCGCAAGCGACAGGTTGCGACAGACAATGCATCAGGTGACTATTACAAGCTTTTAAATAAGGCGTGTTATGGCAAACAAATTGAAAACTGCAGAAAATATAAGAATGTACAGCTGGTGACAGATGCTGACAGGCTGCTCAAATACACTTGAAAGTGTAACTTTAAGCGTTTAAATGTGTTTTCCGAACATTTGACAGCAGTTGAAATGGAAAGTTGGTGAGTGAGTGAGTTCGGTTTAACGCCGCTTTTAACATTATTCCAGTTATATCACGGCGTGTCAGCTTAATGTGGGAGTAAAGCCCGAAGTGATGCAGGTCTAAGACGTTTACCACTTCGGTGAAACCCACGAGCACGGGTATGGTGCTGACAAACCTATAAACATAATTCGGGCGAACCGGGATTCGAACCCACAATCATAGGTTTCTTAGACTACTTGGCCAGCCGTGCCCCCTGAAATGGAAAGCTCAACAAACCTATTGCCGTAGGATTTTGTATCCTGGAACACGTAAAAAGACACATTTATTCGTTTAATTACGATGTGCTACTCAGACAATACAGTGAACAGATGAAGCTGTTAATGACGGATACGGATTCCGTCCTGATTTCGATCAGTGCTCCACCAGAAAAACCTCTGCTTGATCCCTACCTGTTCATGCAACAACACATTCATTTGTTTGATACCTCCAATTACCCCAAGTCTCATCCTCTGTACAGCAAAGACCGTCACAAAGTGGCGGGCTTAATGAAAGCTGAGTCAGACGGAAAGATCATCCGAGAATTTGAGGGACTAAAAGCCAAAAACTATAGTTTCTTGGTCGATGGGAATCATGATGATCAGGTGATACATGAGAATCGTGCCAAAGGCGTTCAGCGGAGTTGGGTGAAAAAACATCTCCGTCATCAAATGTTCAAAGAGTGTCTTTTCAATAGACAGCATTGGGCTACTTTCAGACAGATACGATCTATTCACAATACATTATACACCGTGAAAGTCAACAAAATAGCTCTCTCCCCTCTCGACAATAAGAGATTTTTACTTCCTTGTGGTGTGACAAGTTTACCCTACGGTCACGAACAAACAAACGTGCCTCAGTAACCCCTCTTGTCAAGGTTCTACCGTTACTCACACTCGCACTCACTTTGAGCTCACACAGACTGGCAAACGGATTGAGAGTGCGGTAGAATTACAGCAGAGACGACAGTCAACGCGTTACCAGGTACTTTAAATAAATAACGAAATAAAACAATAAAAATAGAAAAATCGTTATTCGAGATATAAATGATGGATTGACATATGTAGATGAATTTTCCTTATTTTTCAGTGAATTATGCATCCTGTTACCAGATATCACTTCAGTGTGGCAGACAGAAGATGTAGAACCGTGTACGAGAGGAAGAACTTGTATCACAATCAAGTGAAAGCTTTCACAGAAACTGTCGCGCTCGTGAAACCTTCCCGAGATACACAGACTAAACCACGTATTACCACTTCCTGGTGACCATTCCCTGAGCGAGCAACGACAGAAGTTCGAAACCATTTTGGATTCCTTCTATCATAAAGCATTGATGGAGGGTATCAGGGAAGAAATCGGGGAAGCACCCAAGTGTCCTGGGTGTGAAACGGGTCACCCATCACAAAGACAACACACTTGCCTAAAACCCCGAAGTGAAACGAGCGAGGTAGCATGGTATTTCGGCGACGTGTTGGGAAGGTTAAATCACGCCGACATCTTAAAAGATGCGAATGACTTTATGAGGTCCGAGGGACTCGAATTTCATGAGATTCATAGACTAAAATATACTGACAACGAATGGATGCACCTCAACTTCTTGACAACGGAGAAGAAAGATTCCTATACACGCATACTAAAAATAATAATGGACTGAACTTAAAAGTCGAATGTAGACTCATGTGTGTAAATAGAATCAAATCAACTTGTATGTATGTTATACTGTCAAAGTAGTACAGCTGTATATAAATACAAATCACCCTGTTTCACGAGGATGGTACAAATAGTGTACAGTGTGACCAGTGATAACTGCTATAACCTGCAATGTCTCGGATTGTATTCACATGAACATGATGGTTAAACGGCATTTTTCCCGCAGTGCTGATCATTTGGAAATGCGTTTTCTCAATGATGAAATACTCGAAACACAGTTCCGAACAGGGTTAATGACCATTTGTGAATACATTGTAAGGTGATGCATGGAGTTTCTGTTGATCTTTGAACTTAGTAGCACTGTCAATCTCTCTCTCATTACGCGGGAACGCATATCCCAGGATGGCGGACAAGAAAATCATCACGTTTTTTATGCTGGAAATACTATTAGCCCTATGCCAAAGCAAAGAAATCAGCGGACATTGTCGTCATAGACGATTAATCATCACCTGTCCCCCATCAGAGGAAGGATGGGAACACATTCGGAACAGAAAATATTTACAGGTGGTGAAAATCAAGATCGAAGGACCATCAACCAAACTGTTACTATCCACGAAACTCTTCCCGCACCTGCGTGTTGTTGACGGAGATGCTGTGTCTTGTGCTTCACTTCTAGGCAATAAACAGGGAGTTCGAGTTAACAACAGAACATGGGGTATGTCGTTCGAAATATATTAAAAAGAATTCTAAATATCATTGATAATAATAATAATTCAAAAGTTACAGATGATAAACCAAAGATATAAATGTTCTTGAATATATTTTAACTACCACTTTACACTTATTAATTGTGGTTCACATTTGTATTGTTTCCAGAACTACATAACATTACTGTTTCAATGTCCCTTGTTAGGAAGCCATACCGACAGCAGGACTACCACCCTGAAGTGGACCACCGCGTCACCCAAAGCCACCCGGACAACTTTCAGGACTACCATCGGAATACCTTCTGCCACTATAGGTGAGTATGAGTCGTGTTATGTAATTACAGTCAAGTCCCGTTAATCCGATATTGTTGGTTGCATATGATTATGTCGAATTAACGAGTATGTTGGATAAACGAAATTACGAAGTATCAACGTTCGTGATCGAAAATCGGACAACTACACGATAGATAACGATTCAAACACGTAATAAAAATGAAAAATGATATATTCCTATTGTTATATGACATTGTTAGCGGAATATGTTTTTCTATTTATGCAACCTCTAAAGTTTAAAACAAAACCACTGTTACGGACTGTATGACTGGTTCAAAATAGTCTGGAATGGAAGTCGCCAATATTTGAAAATAATAGCGCAATGCTAAGAAAACTTCCTGTTAGTAATTTCATTGGTCAGTCAAAATTCGCGAAAGGTTGTTCTGACGTGACCTGTAATGGGATGTGCTCAGAGGTAGGGAGAACTTGTATCCGATGTTAATGAGACTGAGGTAATCTAGGTATTTGATTAACTGCTGTTTTGTTTATTTCAAGCAGTAATTGTTTATTGTTAAGTAAGTTTATCTCTGTATTTGTTTTGAATTGTTAGTGTTACTATTTTAAATCTGCATTACAATATGTAATATATGCATCATATCCTTCTTTTCAACTTTTCGTTTATGTAATATACTAATTTACTGTATTTGTACTATTTTAAATTTTTAATTTATTTTTTTATATATTTATTTTAAAAAAAGAAGTTATTTTTAATTCATTTATTTATTTATTGTGATCAGTCCCACCTACTCAGATCAGGACGTCTCCAACAGATACCACCCGGAAGAGGACCACCACGTCCCCCAAAGCCACCCGGACAACTTTCAGGACCCCAGGATCGGAGCTCCATCCGCCACTATAGGTGGGTATGAGTCTTGTTAAAATATATTCTTGTCAGTTATCGTGTTATGGAATTATTTGTTTTGAATGGTTAGTGTTACTATTTTCAATCTGCATTACAATATGTAAGATATGTATTATATCCTTCTTTTCGTTTATGTAATATACTAATTTACTGTATTTTTGTGATCAGTCACACCTACTGAGATCAGGACGTCTCCAATAGATCGCACTCACAACATTTCTCCAACAGCACGACCCTCCTCTTCAATTACCACTACCGTTCAAGTTAAAATTACTGTTATTGTATCTACTTCAATAGGACTTACTCCATTGGTGGGGATAATTGTAGTTTTAATTGTCTACACTGTAAAAAGAAGAAGAAAGAGAAATTTTAGTTGCAATCATTCTTTACAACTTGAAATGATGGACGTGCACAATGAAGAGCAAGAAATGTAATGCATTTGACTGTCTTATGGACCTGTGTTGCCCCCATTTCGGCCATACCGATGGCTCTCTCTCTCTCTCTCTCTCTCTCTCTCTCTCTCTCTCTCTCTCTCTCTCTCTCTCTCTCTCTCTCTCTCTCTCTCTCTCTCTCTCTCTCTCTCTCTGCTCCTGTGACAGTCGTGGCATTTCTTTTGTGTGCTGTCCTCACATGTGGTTATACCCTGCAGACGAACGCATTTATACAGCTAACATGCACGTGCAGTTTATGCCATAGGCGGGAAACCTGTTTCACCATTTTTTTGTCACCGCACGAGCGCCGTCAAAGGTGGTGCGTTCGGGTGAGGTGTTTTTTGGTACCTGTTCCTGGGCAGTCATATTCCCAATATCCACTTTCCACTAGTTATCGCTGTTTTTAGGAAAATTACAAATTGCCAACCTATACTTTTTTGCCGCTTAGTTTATATCCATTTATTCTCTTCCTTGATTGAAATTGTTTTCAGAATTTAGAGAAGAAATAAAGGGGCTTCTAGGGATGTGCAGCATAATTGTGCTGTACCTTATCATTCATTTGTTGAAGTGCATTCTACAATTATGTCGCTCATCACATCCACCACCACCACTACCACCACCATCATCATCCACTCCAACACCACCACCACCACCACCACCACCCCATCCACTCAATCCACTCCAACACCACCATTACCACCTATCTCTCCTCCATCACCGCGTCCTTAACCCTGATGCTATCAGTTTGCAGAGTCTAGACAGATCATCTTCATCCTCTACTGCCATCGCCACCACATCATTCATGACTTCATCACCAATCCCACTGGACACCACTCGAACCCTCTCACTGGACGCCTCTCAAGCTTCTCATTCCTCTATCACACTGGATTCCTCACAAACCCCATTGTGGACCAATGTTGATGCTGCTGCTGATGATGATGCTGATGCAGTAAGATATTTAACTCGATTCCGTGTACAGCAAATTTCTCATCAGTAATGTTATATGTGATTTGTAGTATACTTGTATTGATGTATGATTGAGCATGAGCGGCAAGAGTGTAATGTTGATGTAATGTTTGAAGAATTTATGTAAATCATTTATATAATCATTCAGCATCAGTGATTTGCTACCTCATGAATATTTTAACAGAGAATGAAAGTGATTGTATTACAGTTTTAAACTTATTCCTTGATGTATGAAGGAATATATATTCATTTTAATTCATATTATAATCGTTAGCAAGTGTGATAGTAATCTTTAACTAGTGTGATGGTAATCTTATCATGTAACCTGTCTGATTGTATGAAAGCCATCGAGTGATTTTGTATGACTACTAATGAGTGTTTTCAAATGTGAACATGTGCTTATATCTGTTTGTGGTATTATAAATTACTGTGATTTAAAGTATTTGTATTATTAAATCATACTTACAATGATTAAAATTTATTTTTCTAAACAACTTTTGACCTTTGTTAAGTATTCTTTGAATATGAGAAAAGCTCAACCCATAGGAGGTAACTCATTCTAGAACCTTGTGTGAAGAACAACCAACCAAGTCATGTATGTAATAGATTTTATTGTTAAACACATCAGTGGTTTACAATTTGAAAAAAAACAAAATTCCCAGTTTGACAGACAGTTAGCAAGTTTCTAATGGTTTGAGCTTTTTGAAGCACCTGGAACGCCAAACTTGACTTTACTCCGAAAATGCATGTGCTTTTGAGTGGAGTTGGACAATGTTCTCTTAAGACCATTCCCTACTTGCGACAAAATCTTGTCATAACCTGCTATCTTTTTCACTTGTGATTTAAATTGTTGGAAGGCAGTGGGCACCTCCTCAACTTTCTGAGAAGACAAAGTAAACTGTCTAATCAATTAAATGATATTGGAACCATGTATAGTTTGTCCGTATTTGTCACTCAGTTCGAGTTTGGCATTCCATAACGGAATTCCTAGGTCGCGTTGTTGTTGTTTCAAGAGCTGCCACAGACCCACTAGTTTCCCAGTGGTGGAGTTAGTTTTGTTATCTCGCAAAAGGTGTGCGAGTATATCGTCCAAATCATTAACGACACTCGCCATTCCATGATGGTAGATGTGTTCATCCTTAGACGTTGCATTAGATGCCGATGATGATGATGATGATGTAGTTGGTTCATCCTTAGTCTCTTCTGTAGACGACTTATGTGTGATAGTGTTGACTGCAGATCCTCCTGACTGACTTTCACCGTCTGTTGTCATCAAAGTAGATGTAGGTTTAGTGTGGGGTGGAGGACTGGTGTCCCTCTTCTGGGTCAACCTTTGATAAGTTTCTCGTGATAGTAATATCATAGGCTTCATCCTGTGAACTGATTTCATCCGTAGCGTCGTCTGCCTCTAAATAATACGTATCGAGGGCGGTAATGCACGGGGGAGGATGTAGTGATGAGATATAAGCACCTCCAGCTTGTGTTTGTAACTTTGCGTTTTGCTCCTATCGAGCGAATGACATGTCTGT